TTGTAGGAACATCTTGGCTACTCTTAATCAATTTACATCACATTCTATTTCCTAATCATTGTAGGGTCAAACAAAAAGCATCAAATTAGTAAGTACTTGAGAATTAAGGAGGGAAAGTAACCAGTGGATAGTTATATCTCGAATGGTAGACTTAAATGGATATCAGTTAAATTGAAAAACTTATTCTAGTCAATTAGATTCTTAATGTACTTTCAATACAGTGATGGAATATAAAATGAAACTAAACTTTTGTATATGAATAAATACTAGTAGATCATAACATACAGCGGAATTAAATGGAATCATAATCAAATAGAATACTAAGATTTATGCGGAAAAACCCCTCCAATGTGAAGGGTAAAAACCACGGGGCAAACTAGAGATAATCTACTATGAAAATAATAAATATATAAATTTCAATCTCTTGCCCAAAACCCTAGCAACAATCACAAGAGAATAAGTGAGATACAATGATCACATTGCACAATATTCAAATTCTCTCCAAGTAATCACAACAAGAATTTACTGTAGATCTGATCTAACCTGAGATGAAAATACTAGATGAATGAGAACAGTTTCATTGCATTGTCCTTGTCTTATTCCCTTTTTTTCTCTTGTTTTACTGCCTTGTTCTCCCCCTTTCTGAATCAAGTTGCTGCAGTAATTTTCGCCCTTGCTGTTACAGTTTTTCTGCCTCATTTCGCAACCACCACACATCCCCTAATATAATTTAGGATTATGTTAAGAGAGGAGGTGGGCTGTGGGCTGTACAAGCCCACTATAAGCTAAATCTGGTGGGCTATCAGCCCAACATACTATGCATGCTTAATATAAATATTAGTGATAAGATAATCACTAAAGCTGAAAAAACTATCGAGATTTCTTTTAGAAAGATTCTACCTCCAAGAGGAAGGCCAATTTGAATATGTTACCATTAAGATTATTAGACAGAGGTTTAGCAAACTTATTGAGAACGAGAAAAACACTAGCATTCGGATAGACTCTTACATTTCTAACATACCTCTTAATAGATGACCCATCTTTGTAAATGTGGATGATAGAATGAGGCTTAACTGGGTAGCTGATTTGATGATGGAAAATGAATGGAGGCTCCACCTCCTTGAAGCTGTGTTCCACCCTATCCTTAGGGATAAAGTCTTGAACATTCATATTCCATGTGATCCAGACAAGGACAGGTGGATATGGACTCACACATCCAATGGCCAAGCTTCATTTATTAGTGCGTATCGTTTTGTTAAAAAGGATAAGCACGAGGAGGGAACTTGGTCTGGAATCTATTATGGAATCGTCAGCTTACTTTGCTAGATTGAGTAAGTTCATACGTTAAAAGTGCATATTTCTCGATCTGGAAGCTATTATGGAATCATTTGCCAACATCGGCTTACTTTGCTAGATATAATAGCTTCCTCTTCCTCTTCAATTGTAGTAGAGTGGTCGTGGATTGCTGAAAACTGGTGGAACAGAATCTGAGTATAAAGTTTTCATCATTCGACCTGTGGAACCAAGGTGCTTGGCCGGAGGAAGGAGAGCACCTCCCCAAGCAGGAGGCTTGGCAACTCTTAAAAGTCTCATAGGTGTCTCATAGGCCTATTTCATAGATCACTTGATCAGTCCTACTACTACCATACGGTACAGAGTACTGGCTTCATTATACAAAGGACTATTGCCAACGTAGGAAACCATTATGGAACCTGCACCGAGAGTGTTGGAAGGGGTGATGAAATCGTTTATACTCACTCCCATCTTCCTTCCTCTACAGGTTTTGGTTATTTATTAGGTGTGGCAAAAGAAGCCAAGCAAGCTGAGTGTAAAGTAAATTCTAGCAGCTCTACAAAGAGCAAAGTCCGAAGGATAGCAGCAGCTTCTCATGCAATCTAATGCGTTGGAGATTATCAACTATATCAAAGGGATCAATCACCCTCCTTGGCCACTGGAATCTCTAGTCAAGGACACTTTAAAGGTTGCAAATGATTTTTGGCATGTGAAGTTTTGTTGTATAAGGAGAAATATGAATATGGTAGTACATAATTTGACTTTATTTATTTTTTTAACCCAAGAGGATTCTCTATCCTGAGGTTCAAAATTTTGTATTAGTTTATATTCAGACTTCTGTTTAGTTTATATGCCACATAATTTGCCATGTGGTTTTCCTGTGCAGCTGCTACAATCTTATGCATCAACTAATGAATATTAATATTAATTACCACCAACTATCACCAGGTTATGAAATCAAAATATAGTCCAGTTGCAACATCTCCCTTGAAAGGAATGAGCATTTGCAACCAACACCATGCTTGTCATCTTGCCAATAAGCTGCACTATGGCATCTCAGTTTCACTACTTCCACTGGGAACTGTGCTGCCAATTTTACTTGGTAGCCAAACTTTAACTAAACAAAACATAATGTCTACACAAACAGGCAGATAGATTGGTATTGCCAAAATAAAGTACAAGCAAATAAAGAAGGAATCTGTCAAAAGTGAAGCAAGCAGGGCATCTATCTACATTGTCCACCAGGTGAAGAAAGCTTTTTATCCTTGAGCTCTCTTGTACAAGTTCTGGACTTGAGAGACCACAACAAAAAAAGAATGCTTTCTAGTTTCTGTTGGATACCAGAGTAAATTTCAGTGTACTACAAAGATTTCTCTCAGAAAAAGCAGCATGAACTAATGAAATCCTTACAATTCTACTCATCTCATAAGATGATAACTCTTAAGAGCAAAATCTTCTTCTCTCATTGTACCATCTACTACTTCCATTTTCTACTCTTTCATCCTCAGTGATTGAACACTAACCTGCCTTGAGTTTGTGAAAAATGCAGTGATGGCTTAAAAAAATCCAATTGCAAAGTCTCCAACATAGCACATTCCAGTGGGATGGATTTGAATAAAGCCTAGAGTTTGCCATGACTTCCCTTTTTATATAACTTTCAGACAATAGGAATCAGTGGAGACACAACAGAGCAGGTCAACGCTGGGTTGCATCACTGCCTTAGGCTTCACATGTGAAAGAATGAAGCAATATTTTATATGCTGCCATGTATGAGGACATCACCACCACAAACTCCGTTTCAAACTCACAAACCTCCTTTTAGAAGTTCAAACTTTTAAACATAATAAATCCTTTGTTATTATTCATAGCTTGCTATAGTATATGTATATCATGCTTTGGTTCTAAAAATACTATTTATTTGATCCTTAGCATCCATCTTTTATTGTAGACATTCAAGACTTCAAATCTTGGTTGGTATGTTTGCTACATGGCTATGTCTGAATCCAAGCAAATAGTGGAGGGCCTGTCATCATGCACTTGGATCCCCCCCCTTGTGTGTCCTTAACTGGTTTGGATACACCCCTTGCCATGGAGGTGAGCTTATGGAACCTACGGGCTATGAGGGATCTACCCCATCCTTATGGTCTTTATGGGAGTCAGATACAAAGAAAGTACCACATAAGCCAAATCAAATGAAGGAAAAGTTGTTGTCAACCTTCCTCTCTCCGTTCCTTCGCTATTGCATCTTCTACCTTCTGATGGTGTTGAACTTGTATGGGCTTCCATGTCCTCGACACCGCATTGTCTTCCAAGGGTTTGGACCATGGGAGTGGACGGAGGCAAACTGACAAGTGTGGTGGGAAATGAGCCCTCGAGGACAGGGGAAGTGACAAAGCTTAACCCCTCTTTTGTCCACACACTCTTCCCTCCATGCATCGATTTCAAAAACTTGGTAGGAAGAACACATGCCACCAATCCCCTCCTTCCTCCACAACCTCTAACTTGGAAAGCATACATTGTTGTGTTCTTGGGGTAGTGTAATCCCGAGAGGGAGTACAATGGTTGGGCTTAGGAGTTTGGGTTAGTTACCAACTATTTTGTTTGTTCATGGCTTGTTAATGTTCAAACCACTGTTTGGGTCGGGGAAAGCTCTAAAAGTGGCAGTGTAGGTTCCTGGGAGTCAATAAAGTGGTCAATTCATTGTTGTACTTCCAATTATATGGATATCTATGCTGTAATAGTTTGCACCAATGGGTTTGTCCTTTTGTTTTCTGAACAACACCAAGTCCACTGTCGTGTAAGCATTATTGGATCTGAAACTTGCTTTGAAATTGGTTGATGATTATATCTACAATATCATAGATGGTAATATGCTCATTTGTGGCAATCTATACAAGAATAGATGTTTGAAAATGATCATTCATCTGTAAAGGAATATGCTGGTGTTATGTGTAGAGTTCAAATTGCTCCTTCTTGCAAGATCAGAACACTGCATTCCATTTCTTGCAGGGTGACAGAACCATCTGTGGAATAGACATTAATGACAACGGCATGCCTAGGAAATCTAGCGCTGGTGAGCTTTGCTGTTCCTGGCTTTCTTTTAGGTATCAAAGACAGAGAAAGGATTGGGAGAATATAAATGAATGCATGACCTATCCAACCCGTAAATGCAAGGAGCCGCAGCACCATTGTGGAGAAAGTGGAAGGTGGTTGGACATGGCTAAGCATGTCATTGACAAGTACCCTAATGGAGGAATGTAGTGCTGGTGTCAACAGCAAATTGGGAATCTGGGGTGCTTCCTCTGTCATGGTTGAAAAGGGAAGCAGTGAATACAGCTCAACACCAAATCCTTTGTTGTCCAGTAAACATGCAATCCTTCTGCTAACTATCACTCGACCATGCAATGAAGGAAGGAAGACGGCTGCTCTGTTGCCGTAAGCAGAGTGATGAAAGGAGGAGGGTACGTGTCTGCAGCTGAGAGAGTGCATGCTCGAATCCAATCGGGTCGCCTCTCGCATGACGTGAAGAACCTGTCTGAGGCTCTTGGGCGAGACTCAGGTTCTGATTGACCAGGCGAAGAGAGGCCAATTTGAGACCCATAGGTCAACGGCACGTAATTATTAGTCAATTATGTAAGATCTCCATATCTATCGTGGATTCCCCATCGCATCTAATCCACTGCATGAAACCTTATAAAGGCAGTAGGCCTCTTTCTCCCCTCTTTAATGCCATCTCCTTTCAATTTGAAGCGCTCGAGAGGAGGAGGGAGAGCGCGATATGGAGAGCAGCAGAAGTAACAAGCTGAAACAGCGACTCGCTCGCATGTTCCGGTCGCCCTCTCTCCTCCGTTCCCCTTGCAAGCCTTCCGCCTCCGCCGCGACCAACCTCAGCTCCACCGCCTCGACTCGAGCCCTCTTCGACGATGCGGTCCATGAGCCGGTCTTCGTGCCTCGGCGTCGAGGCGGCAGCCTCGATGATCACCTCGGTCGGTCGTTCTCTTCCACTGTGCCAACGGTTGCAGTAGCTCGGCGGCGGTCGGTGGACTACAGTGGCTGCCGGCCGACGTGTGCGATCGAGTGTAGCCAGCCTGCTCCTTTGGTGGCGAAGAACGAGAAGTGGAGGGATTTGAAGGCGAGGAAGAAGGAGAGGAGAGTGAGGGAGACGGGTGGGTACTATGAGACCGGCGAGTGGGAGGGGAGGACGTGCCCTCCTGCATCCCCCTCTTCCCCCTCGAAGAGTTCTTACTACTACTATTGCTTCAATGGAGACGTGAAAGAAGAAAAGGAGGGGATCAAAAGGAAGAAGAAGAAGAAGAAAAAGAAGAAGAAGAAGAGGGTTCCGTCCAATAGCTACCGATTCAGCAGCTCTTCATCGATGGAAAGCGATGTTCAGGAGGATGGATTCTTCAGCAGTGAAGAAAGGGAAGGAAAAGAAGAGGAGACAGAGACGTTCTTCTCATCAAGGAGCTTCTCCTCCGATTCCTCCGAGTTCTACCAGAGGCCCACGTCCAAGGAGAAGAACAAGAACAAGAACAAGAGAAACCCTGAGCGTCCTCAGAGAAGACGAGCGAGGAAGTACGAGGCCTGGGGAGTGTGCAAGGGGTTTCAGCCCTTAGTCTCCATCACAAGGAGGGAGAAGAAAGGCTTCGCGGTGGTGAAGCGATCCAGCGATCCTTACAACGACTTCCGCAGCTCGATGTTGGAGATGATCACCGAGAGGCAAATCTTCGGCGCCGAAGATTTGGAGTGCCTGCTGCAATCCTATCTGTCCTTGAACTCCCCCCACCTGCATCCACTAATCCTGCAGGCCTTCTCTGACATCTGGGTAGTGCTTTTTGGCCACTAATCAGCCATGGCTCGAGTTCATGAGTTAGTCTGTGTTGTAATTTAAGCTCTACTTTTGTTTCTGCTTCAGTGTTGCAGACTTGGTAATACTGATCGTTTTCTTTGCTCTTCATGTTCTTCTACCAAGCTGGTAATGTTCATCTTTTACCTTTCTGACAGCCACAAAAGGAAGAATGGAAAATGGTAGGGATGCTGACAAGTACATGTACCCAATGTTTGTTCCGTTGAAATCTTTTCTGTAGGGTTTGTCTGTAGTCTAAGGCAAGCTAGATTCTGATTTCTCTCTGAGCCTCAGTGACAAGACAACCTATTTCCTCCTCCCCTAACATGCCTCATCTTCCCACAGTGCCTATAATCTGCACACCAAACGCAGAACAGTAAGTCAATGTCTCCAGTCGAACAATCTTCACTGATGAAACAATATCCAAATGGTGTTTGACATGTGTCTGGTTGTCTGCCATGCTTTTTTACTTCATCATTTAGAAATCATGCTTATATATATATATATATATATATATATATATATTGCTGGAAGAGTTTGTATTGTGGAAGCTGGAAACACTGCACAAGTAGAACAGTCGATGAGACTCGAATTTGAATCAGTCCCAATCCGAAGAAGAGAAATCAAAACCCTACCGGGATGAGGAATGTGCATGTAGAACAAAAGGACAGTAAGGACAAGTCTTTGTCCCTCTGAATACATTAAATTCCTTTTGGTCAAACTGGGAATAGCCAATCCAAATATTTTCATGGTGAGATGGGAAGATAAAAAGGCAGCCAAGAGAAAGCTGCAGTTCTCTTGTTCTGCTCACAGAATGGAACCAAATGGGTTAAAACGGTGGCTTGGCACCCCAAAGTTGTCAGCCATTCCTGCAAAGGAGAGGAACGTTTCACAGCATATGTAGACACATAAATGCAGCCATCAATGCTGTGGAGATACACAGAGGGGAATGAGAAGGGGGCCAAATGGAAACAGGGCATTTAATGACAGCAGCGGCAGCAGCAGCAGCTTTATGAGAGCCGTCCACAATTGGGGAGCCTAGAAGAAAGAGAATTCCTCTCTTGAATGCAGTGGGTGTGTCGTGCATCCACTGGGGATTTGGATTTTGGGTGGAGGAAGGAGGAGAGCAATACATCCCCATGTATCATTAACTCATTTCATTGTTTCTTGAGCTGCTTTAAACACTGTACCTCTCTTTCCCATGCTTCTTCTCTCTCTTGTTCTTACAGTGCCATTATTCTTCTCAAGAAACACACATCATTCAATTATACAACCAAAATTTCTCATAGGGGTATCCCAATATTGACATGTTTTACTTGGTTCTTTATGAGTGCCTTAGGACACTGTTCTTAACATTTACATAATCCTTCAACAATCTCTGGATATTTTTACAAGTAACATGTAATGAATGTGCGCCTAATTTACATTCTTGACGTCTCCTTTATTTTTACATAATTATATATACATAATATAATTATTTTTAATGATAATATATGATTTATTTATAAAAATTAAGACTTCAAAATCTCATTCGATAAAGTTGAAAAATGTAAACTAAGCAGCTAATTTATATATTTTTTCTTCTTCTTAGGGTGACGACATAAAATGAAAAGAAAAAGTCAGTTTGTGTCTTACACCATGAACGAATCATAAAAAAAATATATATCTTACAAATTACTAATTTGATTTTACAATTTAAATATCTAACTTAAGGCTCGAAATCTTAAATTCTAATATCATAATTTGAAATTTACAAAGGTAATTTATGAATTTTATATTGTATATATGCGTAATAATTCATCTGATGGTAATATACTGGACCCACTTATCAACCTCATTCAACATATTATGCATCTAAAATTTAAAATATTAATTCGATATTATACCGAACCACTTATCAAAGACATATTAGAAGCTAAAGTAAAAATACTTTGTAAAATCATCATAGAGTCAATGGGATCAAATCCCATCTTCACCACTTGTCATTTATAAAAAACAAATATATATTAATATTAATAATAATATTATTATTATTATCAAAATATGGAACACATGATGTGGAAGGTTTGGGGTTCTGCTGGCTTCACAAGGTAACATAGAACCCAAATAGAAAACATCCTCGAGATTGGACGTCTTGGGCCGGACCTAAGTTTTATTGCGAGGCCCAATGACCTAAGCTGGCTCAGTCAAACCACATCGTCGGATCCCATTCGTAGAACCATATATTATTATTATTATTAATGTTTGGAAGAGTCTAATGTTTGTATTATTAATTAGTAGTTTAATGGTTGCAATTCAATATATGGTTCGCTTTCAAACAATCATTCATAAGCTTTTGGTGCCTTCTTTTACAATCATATCTTTTAGAAAACAATCATTTATTTAATCATTAATTAGAACCATTTATTCAATAGGACTCATATATTTCAAAATAACGTTTTGAATTCTTTGGTGACTTAAGCAATGAGATCTTATGGGGTATACATCTAATATTTTTATCTTAATGATATTTTTGATTGACAAGCTTTCGTCTTTATAAAAATAATATTGGATCAAAATCTTGAATAAAAAAATAAATATGATTTCTTCAGTTTTTTTTTTACTTTTTTTTCCTTCTTGTATATGAAATATCTTTAAATTAATCAAATTTATTTAAATAAAAAGATGCTGCAATATTTAGTATATGATTCACTCCCAACTATATCCCAATGATACATAACTTTTTTGACTTCATATCACTTGATAAACCATATATTGGCCATTAATCAACAACTGTGGATAAGACATCTAATGCTTCTGACCACAGATCTCTGTGAACCGCTTGAGTTCGTTGACGAAGCTTTCTTGGTGCTCCTCCGTCACCACCTCTCCCCTAAACCGCAGGCCTTGCTCCGGCGAAGGCCGCTTCAGAAGGATGCCGCCGGCGAAGAAGAGATGGTCGTTGAGAGGAGCAACGCAGTGCGGCGTCCCCCACCCGTAGTCCACCTCGAAGAACCCCACCGATCGCCAGTCCGAGAGATTCAGCACGTCGTAGCCGATGGGAACATTGTAGGGGTCTTCTTCGACGTTCCCCATCGCCCAGTCCGAGAACTTGGCCGCCAAACTTGCTTTGGCGTCCCTGATCAAGCTCACGATCTCGGTGAGGGGCGCGTGCTTGATCTTATCGCTACTCGATGTCACATTCAAACAGTAGACGCAGTTGCCGTAGTAGCCTCGCTGTGGCGGCAGCAGCTGGCGCAGGAGCGGACGAACGTTTGCGGAAAAGACGAGGTGGACGTCGGCTTGGGGATGCAGATTGATCGCTCGGGTCCGGCACTGCCACAGAACCGCGGCGACCGCTTCGAAGGTCGTGCACCTGTAAGCCGTCTCTCTCATGAACTCCTCTTTGATGTTGTTGATGGTGAGCTGCGGGAAGTCGAACAGGGACGGCACGCAGTCGAACGTTATCGTGGGAGGTTGCCGAGGGATCCTCGGTGGAGCGGGGATGGCGTCTCTGAACCATATCGGCTCGACGGTGGGGCGAGGAAGCCCGCCGGCGATCTCTCCCACCGCCTTCAGGAACTGGCCCGCGCCGACGCCGTCGAACACCATGTGGCTGAACTTGACTCCCACTGCAAATCCACCGCACTCGAACTGCGTTACCTGCGTTCTCACAAACCACAAGCCAAATAAATCTTTTATTTATTTATTTATTATTATTAAAATAAATGGTGATTGTATCGATGCATACATCGGATTTCAAAAGATAGTTAACATCCGATGACATTTTTAATCCTTAAGTGGGTCTGATACATTACTATTAGGATAATATTTTAGATGTGAATCTAAGTGCGTCTGACAATATTTCTAATATTTTAGATGTGAATCGAGCTAGCATCGATTATATAAATCTTTTTTGATATTGGGATTTGTATACATACATCAATACTATAGTATTATTTTAAGTAAAGTAATTATCAAATGAGATTCTTTATGGAATCCATAAACCTAATGGTTAAATCATAGACCATATATAATATGGAACATCCTTAGCAATATAAATATATTTTTATTTCTCTATCAAAATTTTTAGCTTACCAACAACATGAATATTTTTTATTTTGATAATATAAACTAATTTTTTTGAATAATAATTAATGTTCATCACAGACCTGCATCATCAATATCATCTCCTCCGGGTTGATGCAGGGTGGAGGACTAGGAAGCAGCTCCTCTTTAGGGATCACGAGAGGGAACTCGAGGTTCTTGAGATCAATGAGACTGCAGTGAGCCATCGCCTCCACGAACCACACGCCGTCGCCGGTGCAGGCGACCTCGAGCTCTCCTTCGCCCGACGTCACCAGCCGGCCTGCGATGGGGTAGTAAGGCACCAGAGCCCGGGACAAGGCTCCTCTGATGAGGCGTGCAGCCTCCACGCCATGGCCGTACGCCGACATCATCTCCAGGGAAAACCGCAACCCCAGTGCGTGATCCACGGAAGAGAGGGTGAGAGTGGCGGAGGGGGTGTGCTCGCAGGGGGCGACGAGTCCCGCGGCCAACATGGTGACGGCGAACCCCATGGTGGCGAGAGTAGCCTCTTGATGCTGATGCTAATACTGGTCTTTGCCTGTGGCCTCGTCCTCCATTTATAGTGGCGTTGGGAGATCCATGCATGGCATTGGTTCTCGTCGGTTAGCTCACACGTTAAATCCAACGACGATTGTTTTCGCTTGTTTGCTTTCTAACCGTAAACGTGTCGCAAACTTTTCGGTAGTATTTGGTGGTTTCCAGTTACTGGGTAAACCCTTAACATTTATCTAGAAAACAATGAAGTCAAAGTACGTGGGTGGGTGGTGGTCTAAATCTGCTTGCCACCAGCCGCAGATTTCCAGTTACTGGGTTCTCTCTCTCTCTCTCTCTCTCTCTCTCTCTCGACATATGGTGGTTGCATATTCTAAGTTTTCGGGTTCATGACAACCCCATCGAAATAGTTATAATAATACATAAATTTGACATTCTCTATTTTGGCTAGTGCTTAATAAATATCTTTATCATATTCTTCTTTTTTTTTGGTTTGTATCATATGCTTAGTTTCAGTCTTAAATGTTAAGAATAATTTGAGTTGTAGGTTAGAATATGTGAAATATATATTGGATTCTCTCAGAGCAGCATCTAAGGTCTTCATCTATTGATAATAGGGTTTTCGTTTTTCTTAAAGCAAAGGGTATTAGAAGATTATACTTTTGGGAGATGAAGATTGATGGAGGATTAAAAATGATGTCATATTTTTAAGAATGGAAAGAATAAAGTCAGAACTTAATGGCTTTAGTTTGTAGGCTGCGTTGACTTGGTTACATTAATAGCTCGATGACTTATGGGATGAAATAGGAAGCCGGTGGATGGAACGCGTAATGCCTTGACATTTGGTTACTTTAATAGCTTGATAACGTAACGCCTTGACATTTGAAACAATGCCTTGGGGGGAATCTGGTTTTTGATGCGTTCTTCTTTGTGCATACACAGAATGGCGAATGCATGTTGCATAAACGGGATGAACAAATTGCTCGGACTGCCACCTTTACGTGCAAGAAAGGATTGTGTGTGTGTGTGTGTGTGTGTGTGTGTGTGTGTGAGAGAGAGAGAGAGAGAGAGAGAGAGACAGACAGACGAAAGACTTAAAAGAATCACAAAAGATGACTCCAGTTGTAGAATGATGAGAGCAAGTGGGAAGGCCATGGAAGATTGCTTGGAAGTAGAATAGTTGCAAATAGTCAATATAGCAGAAAGAAGACTTAAGCTCTCAATTTTTATGTCTCATTAATCCTCGATCTAACCATATAGATCATGTATATTACATCCAACTTTTATAAAACTCCAATTCTATTATCTAAATTTAGATTTTAATTTAGTATTTCCAATAAGAAAGTGATCCTGAAAAGAAAAAAAAAATAGAGGCAACAGAAGCCAAACAATCTGAATAGAGTGGACTATCAAGTCAAACTAATTATGATTAGAATGAGATGGATCAAATCCAGTATATATTATCCAACTCTTTTAACTTTAGGATAATTGTTATTGGATACAATCTCATTAATAAAACACAAATGTAGTGAAGTGTCCCAAACTACAGAATGTTCTTTCTTCTTTTTACTTTAGACGATTAAGCAACAGAGTAGTTTAACATTGCATCTCCGAGTAGTATCCAATCGATATAACTTCTTGCTCCCATGGGTATATATATATATATCTCATAACAATAGCCATTGGGAGAAGAAAAACAAAGGAAAAAATAGCAAACAAACCAAAATCCTTTCAAAAGAGCTGACACCAACAACATTAACTAGCCAAAGATACTGATTTGCCCAAAATGCACTGAGGGGTAAAGATCCTTCAGTAATCATACCCACGGTAGGATATTATTGGCTTCTGCTCTTTAATTCAGAAGCCAGCAGCAACGAAATCTTGCATCAGTCTCAGACCAGCCACTGTTTCAATGATGAAGCTAGTAGCAGCTTCAATTTATGGTCTCTCAAATCAAGGGCGGAGGGAAGAAACAAGAACGTGCTTCTCGGTCAAATGCTGCTGGAAATGAGCCAATCGAGTCTGCAAATTTACGATTCCTGCAGCCTTCTGGGAGAGTACGGCATTCAATCTAGATACGTATTCATCTAGCTGATTACCAGGTTGGTCTGCTTCATCCAAAAGTCTCATTTCCTGATTTAAAAGAATATTAGCTTCGTACATTTCAAGTTTGACTAGTAAGTCTAACTCAATGGAACATTACCTCTCTAACAATGTTTAATGTCTCCTCCACTTGTCTCCGATGGGCCATCACCAAATCCTCCTCTTCCTGTAATTGTGTCATTTAGTATTTAGTAAGGTGGCAAGAACAGAGGCTTGTTCAAAGTGATAAAAATGGTCTCACCTTCAAAAGCTCATTTAGGTCATCGTCAGAATCGAAACAATTGGCATCTTCATTATGACTCTCTCTTCGTTTTGCAAGAGAGTCAACTCTCCTTGTCTTCCCATCCGCAGCTACAGCTGAATATGCCTCTGCCTTTCCTTTTCTCCAAGATGGTTTGTCTGGCTCGTATACCTCCTCGGAGTAATCAAACACCTCTGCAGTTGAGGAACTTCTACTATTTGCCCGAAAATGCTTAGCATGTGAAGAAATTACTTGGTCCTCTTCTCTCCCGCTGGAAACACTGTTGTAAGACAAAAAGACTTCCTTTTCAACTTGTTTGGACCATCCAGGTTTTTGGTCCTCGCCGGTATCACCACTGTTAACCTCAAATCTGGAGAAAGATATGGGAGCAGAAACTGATTCTTTTACATTTAGTGTTGCAGATGAGAGGTCCTTCTTGCTGTTCCCTTTAGAAAGACTCTTCACCCTTCACATAAGATTAGACCAGTTAGCAATAGATAGAAGCAAAAGAAAGGACTGTAACATATAAAACATAATACTAATCCATCACCTGTCGGCATATCTGAGAGTGTTCAAAGTGTGTTCACATGAGCCAGAATTTGGAGAAACGCATGAGATCATTACAGTGCGTGAATCACCAACAAATGAATCCCTTAGAACTTCAGTCAATTTACTCCCTCTGAAAGGAATATGAACCTGGTCATTGTCAAGGGCTCGAATGCACTCTTTCAAGGCAAGCAAACTTTTGTTGATCTCAGCACCTTCTATTCTGCGACCAAACATACACTTGAATTTACTAAGCTGCTAAAAAATGATTGCATGCAATATACATCTACCTTCTGTCATTATAGGCAAAAAATGATCACCTTGTTTGCTTGTCATTATCTGTAGTATCTGCACCACGCTCACTTCCGGCAAGGTCTATGAATGAGAGCTTGCCAACTATTCGAGCAGGCTTAGATTCACTGCCATCTACTGTCTTTTTTATAGCAAGTTGGAGTATCGCATGAGAACGTGATGATTCCTCATTTGCGCCAGTTGTGCCAGTACTCCTTGTTGCATTTCCTTTTTCAATGAGATCCTTTATGGTGTCAAGACTTGACACTCTATATTCCTGCAGACCAACAATGCAAACTTTCTGCTTTCCATCCTCTCTCATACAAAGCTTCCTACAAGAAAATTGATAGTCTGAATAACGAAAAACAGATTATACATGCTGAGGTAAAAAAATGAGATCAGACCTCCGATCATTTAGCAAATCAAAAAGCTTTCCTCCATATATCTCAAAGAAGCTGACATACAAATGAAACCCTTGATTTCTGTATGTATGATGCATATGCCTCAGAATGTCTTGTGATGCTTTAAGTGGTAGCGGTTGCATGGTGTATGTCTTTCCACTACCTGAAAAGATTATAGAAGATAACCACTTGCAGGATGCAGTATAGAATCCAACACAAATTTATAAGCACAATGAAGTACAGAATCCCATACAAATCTAGAAGCATAGGTTTGACCATTAAAGTATGAAAGTGCTGGGTCACAAAAACAGCAGGCCAGAACACAAATAAAAGTGGACCAGAAGCACAACTTACAAATTTTCAAGCATATTTTAGATTTCCAGACAAGAGAAATAAAATATATTGAAGGATTTAGTCTGCAAGAATCTAGAGATTCCTGACCACACTAAAATTTTCAAACATGCACAACTTGCTTGAATATACGAACAACTACTTTTTACCAAAAACAATTATGTAAAACACTAACCCATCATGTGTTAAGAAAATAATTTGAAGAAGGTACCATCTCTTTAATGATTATCTTTGTCTTTGTTCCTTTTTAGTTGTACTTTAAAAAGGGAGACTTTCTAAATGTGGGTCATTTCGTTTTTAATTAAGCTAGAGTTGCTAACACTTCTGCAGAGTATTTGTAAACACTACTGGTTGACAAGCACAGAAATTATGTACCTTTCAAGGGAATAGTCTGTCAAGACTCTTAACTAATATAAGATATAGGATTGATAGAAAACAGCAACTTCCTATTTCCCCGTGAAGAGAGCTTTGAACAATGTTGATTATAAAAAAAAAGTGTGTATGAATATTTAATAGTAGACAATTTAAAGCATAAAATTCTGTTTACACTCTCAATAGAGTAGCAATGACAAAAAGGTTAAAAGAATATCATTTCAACTGCAGCTGCATGAACATGCTACATATCAAGTTTTCCCTAACACTGGTACCCTTGATGAAATTTGAATACAAGAAATTTTAATGGCTATTTTGCATCATATTTTTAACGACTTAAACACAAAACAAAATACAGTGATTTTAGAACCATATAGTGTCACTGATGTTCTTACAGTATAACCATCATAAATCTCCAAGCTATTTATTATCACTAAGAGAATATATTAAATGTATCGTATAAAAATCCCAACCAAAAAGTTTACTTGCCTGTTTGTCCATAAGCAAAACAAGTTGCCTTTGTACGTTGAAAGATGGCAGGGATAACAGGTTCAACAGTTTCATGATATACCTGGAAAACAAATAGACAGACAGTTTGGTAAAGAGAACTTAAGATTGCAGATGTGTCTATCTTCTATTTTCATCTGGTACTCACTTCTTCATTTGAGACATTTTCATCCAAAACAGCATCAAACACAAATTCATGCTTCTCAAGATACTCAGTGAGGTCAACCTACATGTCCAAGAATAAATTAAAAGCAGGAAAGCATAGTTTGTAAACAGATCAGATAATTTCAATGATTGTTCAAGAGTATTAACAAAAAATAAATGTATATGCGACCACAAAAGATGTGGAAGATAAGACATTTATCAATAAGTGCTTGTCTTGACGATTACTGCTTAAGAATAGTGTTGGATTATGGAACAAAACAGGATGTTTTCTGCCATATGCTTATAAATATAACTGTCACTTGTTGTTTAGTGAGACAATATTTTCTAGAGGTATCATGCATTTCAGTGAAAGGAGATGAAAATGAAGTTATGCTTCAGTTTTTTAGTGAGACAATATATTCTAGGCATCATAGCAAACCCTTTATGGTCCTAGTGTTATGCTTCACGACTTAGGAGTCTCAAATTCAAAACTGAAGTAATGGCTAAAAGGTCTTGATTTGAGCTATCCTTATAGGGCCAAGTCGTAATGTAAACTCATTACAAAAATAAGAAATCATGATGCAAATTAATGTGTTATAATATCTGGAAAGAAATTTAAGTAATCCATGTCTGAGATGATTTCAAGTTACTCTAGAGTGAGTGTCACCTCAGTCCACAGAAATTGGGTTCCCTAGAGGAGCTGAATTGGTGACCAACTTTGGCTAAATCTTGTCAAAAATTTCCCTCAGATTCCACTTGAGATATAATAGTTAATTACAAGCGAAACAAATTATAAAACAGTTTTGTTATGCAATGGAATCAAATAGAGCAATTTTCTATCAGAAACAAATTTTTTTTTGCATAGCTTGGTATAGGGGTAAAGCAGTAAAGTGAGGTGCTGTGGTTGAATAAGAAAGTAACATGAATGAGAAGAATATTACCTTAAGTTTTGTCTCATGAACAGTTAGAGAGTTGGTACTTGGTACTATTGTGATGATATCATCCTCCTTCTTTGCTATTTCCTTTTTGTTAAGAGGTCTCTTTCTGACCTACATTGAGGTCATAATTCACACTACTTAAAGCAGTTAAATAAATGCCACAATATTTCACACATAAGCAATGGTAAACAGAGAATGAACATTGCAGAATTCAGTTATGAGTTCAAATTATGAAAAGGTTTCACAAATGACTACCGTAAGCAATATAAATCTTAAGAAAGTTGCATAGTAGAATAACATACCACTACTTTGATCTTGGCAACAGCACTCGTTTTTTCTTTATCAACCGAGAAACTTTTCAAGAGAGTGTTTTCAGATGGCCCTAAATTCCGACTCATAGGCTTGTTACTGGAAAAGCTCGTCTCTAATTCATCCATGTTTCTACCATAACCAAGTGGGCCTGCACCGAATCCAGCGCCTGTCACCTGCTGACAGCATCAACGAACCAAACCATGTCATTGAATAGGAAAAGGAAAAAGATCCGCAGGGTCCCAAATGGATTGGTTCATTCGACAAAAGCCTTGTTATTTGGAGGATCTGATGGATTACCTACTCAGAACTATCATGCAATACAAAGGTCAATAATATTTTAACCGAAAAAGGAAATAGATGCTTCATTTCTAAGAAAATGACATGACCCCAAAGAAAAGAACCAAACATCCCCCGATCAAGAATAGTGTAACGAAAGCATCATTGAGATCTTTCGCTGCTAAAGCAAAAGTGCATCCGAAGAAAAGAAAAGAAGAGAGGGATTACTTCAGGGAGAAGCTCAGTGTCAAAGGAGTGGAGATCCAAGATCCCCGGGCTGAGCTCACTCGGCGACACTTCCTCCCCATTCTTCCTCTGGCTGGAGGACCGTGAAGTCAAAGGCGGCGTTAGCGGCTCCCCCGACATCGAGAATTCCCCGCTCATTCCCTTGTGCATGCTCCTCAGCATCCTCGAGTAGTCCACCTACACCACCAAGAAAATATTCGGTCTCCAGAAACAGGATCCCATCCCATCTCCTCCAGATCGCGGTAGGCCGGTGAGGATCCGATTACCTGCTGAGAATACGCTACTCCGCCCGGCTGGAGCCACTTGCTGCCACCACCGCCGTTTCCGGCGTCGGGGAAGAAGTGGTCGGACGAGTACTGCCGCTGGTGGAGCTGGTTCCCGGCCCGCTGCTGCATCTGCCTCCCCCCGACGGCGGCGCCATTCATCCTGCTTCGACTTGAGATCAGATCCACTCGTCGGTGGATCGCGACGAGATGAGCGGCGTGAGGAGAGGAGAGGAGCGAGCGAGCAAGAGAAGGGAGAAGGGGTGTCTCAATGACCACAACAAGAGCAGCAACAACAAGAAACCATACCCAAGCAAAGACCGATTATAAAAACAGATGTGGGGACTGGTCAGAAACATCCTTCTCCACTCGCACATACACGACAGACGTACCCGCTTTATTACTGGGTAAAATCTTCCGTTCCCATCTGTCAACCCTATGACAAGGCAGGTAGATCAAGGAGTATGGCGCAGGGTTGTTGATGTTTGTGCGTCGATTAAGTATTGGTGGTTAGGTGTTGGGATGCGATCGATTTCAAAAACTTTTGAAATGGGCAGGCCGGTTGAGGTGGTGGGCCCGATCCACGAGAGAGGCTCTCGGGGTGTCGGGAGACAGGGCTCCGTGTAATCGGGGAATGGCACGGTGACACGTTCGAGTACGGGATTTGGGTGCAGCCCGGTGTATTTGGAACCGAGTATTAAGAAGCGCGGCATGCTTCTTCCTCTACGGACAGCGCTATGGTAATGTGTATGACAAAGAGAGAAGATTGGGGTGTTGGAGTAGCAAATGTTGATCATTTGTTTGTAACAGCTGCTAATTAACAGGAAACTAATCATTTTGGGTCAATTACACTTTTAACTATTGAGTTCGAGTCCATTTTTAATTCTAAATCAATCTTGGTTTTGATTAGCTTTATAAACTTCAATTAAGTTTTTGGTCTCATATGTTGATGATAAGGAGAAAAGTTGCTTACAAGTAAAGGTGGCATGGACTAGAACAAAATATAACTTTGTACTCGAGTTGTTACTCACATGGTACTTACCATGGCGAAAGATGATTAGGCTGATGAGGATTTATCTTATATAGCCATGAAAGTCTAATACTTAATTATTTGTAGTAAAATAAATTTTGTAATCTTAAACTTATATCTAGATTGTTGGATTGTTCTTTGTGAGAGTCAATCGAAACTAATGCATAATGGTTTTAGCTTTTAAATCACGTGTAGAAACTTAAATCTTCATTGTATATGCTAAATTATCTTATTAAAAAATAATTTATTTTATAATAAAAAAATATAGATAAACTGAAATAGAAAATACAACCCTCATATTTTTGTATGCTCAACTTGTTACATAAAAATATTATCACTTTTAACATGCTAGGAAGATTTTATATGACATATTAAAAATTCTATTTCATCTCCATCACGAGCATAAATATAACTGAAAAAAGAATGAGCATCTCCCTTGAGAATTAGTTAGTAATTCTTAAACATTTCAATAAGTGATATTCTTCGTGAGACAAAATATAATAAATACAATTAAATCTTATTTTGAAAAGATCATCAAATTACTTACTTTGAGGCCCAAATTAGTGTTCTTATAAAATGAAAAAAAAAAAACCTAACTATGGCACAAAAATGCATACTCTTGAAATTTATGATTTCAGTAATCATCTCTAGTTTACCTAATTCAAGAACTTAGTTGATAATATTCTTTGTACAAGTTAAAAGTTCATTTCATTAACTTAACCTTATTGAGGAATAAAACATTGTAATTAGCATATATGATCATCACGATTGTAGACAAATACTACATAGTTAGATATATTTATAAAAATTAAATTTCTTTTTTGTGTTAAAATTTTGAATACAAAAATGAATTTTAAGAATGAATTACATAAAAGAGTAAACTAATAAGTCAAACATATTCAAAATCTAGCATGACATAATTCACATTATATTGAAACACCTTAAAATTTTACATGTCTTTAATAGGTATCATATTGTCACTATATTATAGATCTAAACCATAGCAAGTTAACCCATGTATTACTAAGTACATTTTAATAAATTTTTAGTAAATTATTTTTTATTTTTTATATTTTAGTATTTTATTATTTGATTTTCTCATCAAAATTTTCAAGCATCTCTTTGTTGTTTATTATTCAATGCTCAAGTACACCAAAAATTTTAAATTGATGATTAGTAAAAATCGTTCCTCAAGGTTAATCTGATAGGAGCATACTTTGATAAGCACCTGTATATTAAAATATTTCATATTTATACTATGTTATGTAAAAATATATATTTATCATACCATAGGAATAATTACTAAGAATAGAATAGATATTTATTTTGGGGAAGAATAAGTGCAAATAAAATATCCTAGATGTGGATAGCTTTCATTGATTAAGATGTAGGGTAGCTACACTAGGTTAATTTGATTTTAACATAGCATTCTAATACTCTAAATAGTTGACTGAGTGTGTTATGTTTAATTTTCTAGATTACAAGATGCATTTAGATTTAGTTGTAGAAATTTTATTCCTTTTACCATGAAAGAAAGTTAGTCTATAAGGATTGTTTCACTTTAGAAAACCAAGATATAAAATTAGCTAAAATATTAATCTTAAAGTGGTTAAGGCACGCAAATATTAGAATCTTCATATTCAAATTAAATTTTTAGTTTACATTTTCTTGAAGCAAATTTATAGTTTTATAAAATTTTAAATTATATGTCTTTCCATTTGTGTGAATATCCAAAATATTTTTTATTTTTCATAATAGATTCCTTGTCTTTCTTGATGTCACCTTAAATTCATCTCTTTTTTATTTAGTTAATTATTTCAGCCATAAGATCAAACACAATGGCATATCTTCAAAGATGTTTGATAAGATTCATGTATCGCAATAGATAAGATATCTCATGAGATGATAGAATTTATATAGTTAAAGGGATGCAAGTGATATGTTTAGTTGGGTTTGCAAGGCATGACCTAGTCTCCTATGCTAAACTCATATATCATTGTTTAAAGTTGAAAAACATATTTCATTACAAAAATCATCAATATCAATAGTATACACATTCTTATTTTTTAAAATAATCATACATCTAGTATTTCTATTATATAAGCATTAGATTCAAATTTGATGATGTATCCTTTATCACATAATTGATTAATACTTAGTAGATTATGTTTTAAACATATACTAATAACACATCTTCAATAAAAAAGTTTGACTTGTTATCTATGGTTCCTTTGCCAATAATTTTTTTCCTTGTTGTTGTCTCCAAATGTGACATATTCTTCATCTTGGCTAGTAAGCTTAGAGAAGTGTATAAGATCTCCGGTCATTTGCCTTAAGCATCAACTATCAAGGTATCATCTCTTAATATTAGCGTTTGATTGTAAACATATCTAAAAAAAAAAGGGGTTGGGTTTCTTTTAAGTACTAATTTATCTTTGGATTCCTTATGAATAGATTTACCTATCTTGACTATTGGCATTGGGTTATTTATGGTTCCTTTATGAACCCAAACTAATTTGTATGAGCTATATTTTTTAAATAAACATTTATAATATTCACATCTACCATAAAAATTATATTTATTTTTATGAGAAATGTGTAATGTGAGTCCTTTAATAAATAAAGTTAGTTTTTGTTGAGTATTGCTACTCATAAAATCGATTCTTGCTTTTGTATATACATAACCTTTATTAGCAAGAATCATGTTTAAAGATTTATTTTCAATTTTAAATTTTTCTAAAGTTTATTACAATACTACATTTTCTTTCTTAAGTTAATCTAACTCTTTACACTTAAGTTAACATGTTATTATCATGCTTATTTTTTAATTTTTTAAATTGACTAGAAAGAGAAGCATGATTATTTATTAATAACTTATATTTTTTATCAACTAACTTATATTCATCATATAAGTCATTAAAAGCATTAAGTAAATTATTATAAGATAAATAAGATTCGATTGAGTTATTTACCTCATCATTAAGTGCCATTAGAGCATAGCTTGCCACCTCACTATCATTCGTTTGCTCTTCATCTTTGAATGCACTCAATTCGTCCCAAGATACCTTGAGTGTTTTTTTTTTTCTTTGGTAGATTCTTCTTCTTTAGTTGATGACATTCACTTTTGAAGTGCCTCGACTTCTTGTATTCGTAGCAAATGATTGTGTTATTTTTTAGTTTATTTTTATTCTTGGTATCTTGTTTTATAAGATTTGTATTGTTTCTTCTTATGAATTTTTAAAATTTTCTTGTTAGGAATGCCAAGTCCTCATCATTACTTGAGCTCTTGCTCGAGTAGTCTTCTCTAGTTCTAAGTGTCATATCCTTCCTATCCTTTGAAAGGTTTTTCTTATGTTTATCATATGTCTTGCACATCATTTCATAGGTCATTAATGACCCTATGAGTTCCTTAAGTAGAAAACAATTCAACTCCTTTGTCTCTTATATTGTAGTTACTTTCAATCCTGATTTTTTTAAAGAGATCTTAGAATTATTAACAAGTTTAATATTAGAAAAATATTTACCAAGAGCTTTCAAATCATCGACGATATCCGTAAAACGGGTGTACATGTCTTTAATGATTTCGCTTGGTTTTATTCGAAACAATTCAAAACTATGTAATAAAAGATTGATTTTAGATTCTTTAACTTTACATGTGCCTTCATGTATGACTTCGAGTGTATGCCAAATATTATATGTAATTATATATATAAAAATATGATTAAATTTATTTTTATCTAAAGCGCAACATAAAACATTCATAGCTTTCGCATTTAAGTAAAATGATTCTTTTCTCTAAATTCACTCACTCATTGGTCTAGAGGATTTTTGAAAACCACATTCGACAATATTCCATAAATTAAAATTCATAGAAATAAAAAAAAATTATACGAGTTTTTTAATATGTGTAGTCCGTCTCATTAAACATATGAGGACGAGTGATAGAATGACTCTCTAAATTACTAACAAAAGCCATCTCTCTTAGGTATTAAACCAAACGGAGATAAACATGGCTATAATACCAATTGTTAAGACCATTTCGACATTATGGGGGGTGAGTTAGTGTTTTCGATAAAATCGTCGGTTTTAAAAAACTTTCGTTTGATGAAAAAATCATATCGAAAATATGCTCGACTTGCAGTAAGTGAACTAAGCAATTAACTTATAAAGTAATAGTAATGAAAATCAGAATATAAATGTTAACCAAGTTTATAGTAGTTCAGTTGTCGTGACCTACGTCTGCTCCTGATTCCTTTTCCGTTGAGGCCACTAGCATTTA